ACTTCTGGGCCCTGGGGACCTCGTCCCAGGGGCTCCACCCCCTGAGTGGCTTGCAGAGGAGACTGTGTCTTCAGAGGTGGCTGGGCCTGGGTCAGAGCATCTCTAAGAACAAGATGCCACACAAAGCAAACCTAGTGCGACAGAAATGCAGCGCACAGAGAAAGACAGGATGCAGCTGTGAAAACACATGCAGACCCACACGTGGAACCCCCTTCAGACTTGAACGAACAAGAAACGTCTTGAGTTCAGAGGGCAGGGCCGGGACCCGTGGGAAGGAGTGATCTCTCCCTCTCGTGGACTCGTCCAGTTACAACTGGGTGTTGGAGCCCCAACGGTCCCTGGGTCCCCAGAAGGTCACAATTGGACAAGCCTGGTCAGGCCGTCTCTGTCTAACCAGCCCCACCCTGGACTCCTGTGCCCTGGGGAAAAGGTAGGAGACGGTCAGGCAGGGACATTGCAGTGTTTGCTTGTAGAAAATGTCCAGGGACCCAGAGGGGTGTGTCCTGTTAGTTTTAATTCCAGATGTTCTTTCCAAATCCAGGGATCTGTAACTTCAAGCTATTCTTGGAGTATAAGGCATAAAAACATGTTTTTAGGAAAAGAAATTCAAAGACCCCAAATATTGATACCAGCCCTTCCTGGTTGCACACACACACACACACGTACACATATCAGGACACACACATTTCTCCCCCTGCTGCATTTGGACCTGTCCTGCAAACCTCATCTCATCCCCTCTTTTGTGTTCTCTCAGGAGCCACCATGCTCATCACTTACAAGATGATGTAATTTATCTCTGTTCTTGTCCTCTTACTAGACTTGGAGATAGAAACTCTCTTTTCTGTTTGTCTTCCTGGAACTGAGTAAGTGGTAGGTACTTGGAAAATGCTTATGGATAAAAAGAAACAGTAAACGGATGCCCAGGGACATGTCATGTAGAAAGAGACATCCTTTGGCACCCGTGACTCCAGACGTGTCCTACGAGTGTGGTTTCCCTCGTTCTAAACAGGCCCAACTACGGCAGCCTCCTTTTCACCCTGAGGTCCAGGCTCCCTGGTGGGGTGATGGAAGTGCCTGCAGCGGGGCTCGTGACGGGGACATTTTCAACCCTGGGCTGGCCCTTTCCAAGTTGGGTGGGGGACATGGAGTGTCCACTGGTCTCAAGAACGGGCCCTGACGTAATGCAAGACACTAACAGACATGTGTTTATCCAGTAGTGTGTGGCCTCCATGCTATGTCTGCCTCAAAAGATCAAGGCTGAAAAATAAGTATATTTCAATGAATCCACCTAATTACACATTTCAAGTATATTCCTGAACAGGTTCTTTAAAAGCCAAACAAAATACCTAATTGTACGGATGGCGCTAGGAGTGCAGAAATGACGGCATTGCTCGCAGCCTGTTCCCGAGTAAATGCGGCTCACCAGCGCGTTTCTCTGTAATCGCTGTCACCGCACGCTGCACCTATGCAAACAAGAGCATTCTGGGAGCTGAAGGCAAACAAAGGCCACGCATGTGAAAGCAAAGAGTCCTACAGCAGGAGGCAGCAGTTAGGGGCTCCGGTCCCCTAGGTAACGACTCAATCGACTGTCAAACTTTTGTTCCAACTCCAATACCCCTCAAATCAGGGAGCTGACTAAGAAGCTGAGGATACAGTTTAAGTAATTCACAAAGGATTAAGGGAAAATAATTGTATTGGGACAAAAGAGGGAGTTTCATTTCAGTCTCTCTTCACTGCCGTGAGAAGCAGCAGGGGGCCAGCCTGGGCCTGGGCGTGGGCTCACGTCACGCTCCGAGGCCACATGCAGACGGCAACAGTCCCACAGCCACGAACCTGCTGGTGGAATTCAGACACACGGGCTGGTGCGAGTCTCGTGCCAACAGCACATTTGGGAGCTAACGTGGGAACAGAGTGCAGAACAGCTAAGATTCAACGCTGGCTCGGCTTTCACAGATGGAGGCCTTGGGAGCCCTGACAGACCACCTCGAAGCCTCGTCCTGCCTCAGCTGGGGGCCCGTGACCAACAGGCATGCCAGCGGGAGAGCAGGACCATCTGTTTCCGAGATTCAGCAGCAGTGTGAACACACAGGAGTGTTTCCCTGGAATTAGGAAAAGGGGGAAGAGAGACTCGGCTCCTCTTCTGACCGCTGGCCGTTGGCTGTGAAGAGTGGCTATCGACACGGTTGGGCTGAGGACGCAGAGACTCCTTCTTCCTTCGGAACATTGGGTCCTGACATCAGACAGAAGAAACTGCCTGGGGGACCACTGCTGATTCTTGCCAAAGTATTTATTGGTTCTCAGTGAAATGAGAATAACAGTAACAGGGCAAGGCTTTTAACTTAAAGCTAATGTACTCAGAGTGTCTCATTTTTAAATTAACCTGCTCACCACTTTTTAGTGTTAACGTGTACTTTCTCTTACGTGATTGTAATGATATAAACCAGGTGAGAGTCATATCTGTTTGGTTTGGTTTATGTCCTGATTGGTATCACATAAGGTGGGCAGCCCTGCCGAACCTCCACTTTCCCTGCAGACTTTTCTAGATTGGAGGCCATTCCCTGAGAGGCACAGATGCAGGAGCTCCCTGGGGCAGTCTTAACTGTTGCCTGTAAACCTCCTGGCTTAGAGCATCCAAACCAAACCCAGGAGCTGGAGGGAAGTCCTGTGGTACGACCTGCTCTGCTGTGCAAATGAGCATGTGCCCGGCCCGCTCTCGCACCTCCTCTCCACCCCCAGGGGGCATCTCATAAACCATTGCAGCCCAAAGGGCCCCTCAGAATGCACCGTGAGATATGCCACAACTCTGCCGTCAGCGTAGGGTCCCTGCACCCTTAATTAGAATGAAAGCCCCAAGGTCAGGGGCAGGTTTATCCCCTTATCCTTCCCAGAATGGGAGTCATCCCAAGACACAGCTCCGAGAACAGAACACAGCAGACACATGCTGTCCATTCCTCATGAACGCAGGGTGCTATGAGTGACTCACGAGTGTCATCCCTGAAAGCAGGCTCCCAAGGACTCGCTGTCTCTGAGAGTGTTTGTTTGGCCATCCTTTCTCTTTGGTCTGTTAGAACATCTTGCCCTACAACCAGCCCCATTTTCTCTTTCTTTTCATTTCCTTTTTTAACCTTCCTGACCCTCAGCACGTCGCTTGCCCAACTGCAGTCATTTGCAACAGAGAAATTTACAAAGAGACCACATTATGAAGTGAATTGAACAATGAAACCCTTGGAGACTTTCATTTGGGTTGAAATTTTCTCTAATATCTCACCCACGTCCAAACGACTGCTCACGAGGGACTGGAGGTAAATGTGTTTTCTGTAACCGTGACCACAGGGGCTGTCCCAGAACGCCCAGCCGGGGGGCTCCTCCGGCCCTCTGAGCTCATTCACACAGTCAATCATTCCTAATTTACCAAATATTCTAGAACAATGACCACCTATTTTTTCTCAACACGTGTTCATAGTAAAGCGGTCGCTGCTTTGTGCACGCACACAGGGCTGGCTTTCCTTTCTTTTCTGTGAGGTCTTTGTTTACCTTCCCTGTTTAAGTTTTCCCACAGTGCATTTTATTTGGAATTCTATTGTGAAATTCCTAATGCTGTTTATTTTCATTGTTTTCACGCCATCCTCCCTGATATAATGGGAGCTTCTTAAAGCGGGTAACTTCGTCTTTCCCACTGCCGAGGCCTGGGACAGGTGCACAGAACAGGTGTCCATGACGACCACGGACTCCTTACAGAGCACGTTCAAAGTCCCAGCCTCTGCTCCACCAATTTGCACGTATTAAAGTCACTCAGTCCTGGCAATCAGCCCGTCTCCATCCACTACCATCATCCCCCTACACAGATAGGAAAATTAGGCTCAAGGAGTTCACGTGATTTGCCCAAGTTCATACAGATGGCAGGTGACGGAGCTGGGATTCAAGCCCAGCAGACTGCTGCTAATTTCACACAATAAACGTGATGCTGTCTGGCCCCGTCATTTACAGGGGAACTTGAAGAACTGACAACACTCATTGGCTTCACAAGAATGTTCAGATGATGTAAGATGAGAATAATTATGTCCAGTATGTAATACACCCAAGGAGCAGAAATTTGGTAATGACCTTCAGATTCTGAAATCCTATTTTATGCATAATTTCCATAGTTTATAAACCTGCTTACTCTATAATGCCTCCTATTATATTCATTGCATAATTCTTCAGGCACGTGTCATGGTTAACTCCTCTGCTGAATCGTACATATTTCTTATCTCCTGTTGTAATTCTCCTTCCAAGTCAGTCTGCTAAGTTTAACTTGTGAATACATTGACTTGAATAGTTCAGGTTTTAGTCAGAGAAAAAAATTGCAGTTAGATTGAAAGTTCATGATTTTGGAAATAAGAAATAAATCTCAAGGTGTAGCCTTGATTGAAAACTTCCCAATGAATAAATGGACAAATTAAAAAATGTGCTTTCAACCTTTATTATTCACTGAGTATTGACTAAATAGATGCTGAACTGTGAGCTGTTCAGAGATTAATTTGCCAGTTCAGTGTGCAAACCCATTGGAGGCCTCCTGAGGCTGGACTCGGTCCTCAGCTAATTTCATTACAGCTTGAAGAGACCAGATGAAAAGGAAGATGAATGATATTCGAAATTAGTGTTTCCCCCTACAGGACTATTCTACAAATCAGATATTATCCATTTTTTATCCCATTCCCCAATCAAATAATTTCAGAGACTCTAAACTGGCTGCGTTGGAAATGGAAGTCCCCAGTGACCGAGGACTCACAGCTGTGGTTTACTTGTTCCTTCCTCCACTTGGAAGCAGATTCATTAACTTGGGCTCTGGTCCCAGCCTTGGCTCCTGGGCAAGGCGAGGCGAGGGGCGGGGGAGGCAGCTTGGCAGCTCCCCGCAGGCCTCGGGGGTTAGACCCAAATACATCAGCACTTCTTTTTCAAAGACACAATAGGAACTTGTGAAGATTCCTTTTTTATTGGTCATTTCATTTGCTTCTCTTTAAAGACATTCTTTGGGAATGTGGTCCTCCTCCTAGCATCTGAGCTGTCTCCCAGGCTGTTACAAAGACTCCATTCAGGGCTGCGCTGGGCAAGTGGGGAGACACCAGAAGCGCAGGGCTGGAGGGTTACAGCCTGTTCCCGAGGCAGAGCCTGCCTCTCAGAGCCGCAGAGGGCGGGGGGTGCACCTCGGGAGGGGAGGCCGGCAGGGGCGCAGCGGAACAAGGGCCCAGTGAGGCCAGACCCCACTCTGCAGGGGAGGAAAATCCCCCAGCCCTGTCCTCTTCCTCCCTTCCTCTCCAGAATCTTCCTGCCACCGTTACTGAAGAGGCCACATCTTTGAATGTCATGGAAATTCTGTAAAACACAGAAATGTGACCTCAACGAGGAATGGGAAGCATGAGGTCATCCCATCAAATGTACTGATTTCATGGTCGAAGTAACCCAGGAGGCAAATAGGCCCTGCACCCGACAGAAGCTGGGTTTTATTTCCATGTGACATATTCTTGAGACCCAACGTATCATATTATTCAATGGCGGTCACGTTCCATCAGCACAGTGTGGACTGCGCCTATACCCTTCCCTCCTGAAACAAACAGAAAAATAATATCATTAGAAAGGCCAAGGAAACTGTCATGAACAAAAAAATTGGGAAATTAAAAAAATAATTTATTTTATTTACATTATCAGTAAATGAGCCCAGAAGTCCTCAGTGTCCCAAAAGCCTTGTTATTTAAATTGTCACCAAAAGAATCTAGCAGCACCTGCCCCCCACTATCTAATACAGAGATTGGGGCCTTCAGCACCTCGATACCCCAGTGTTTGGGCTGCACCTCACATACTGTCACCAGGCCATACGACAGCTCCATGGCATGGTGACAGGAACCCCGCCAGTGATGGAGAAATACCCCCATCATTCCCACGGGATAAAAGCAAATTGTTCAAACCCTTTTTTCTAACAGCAATATGCAACAAAAGGCTATTTCTTTTCAAAGTCCAATTTAATTATGGTCTTTGAAAAGCTGCGGACATTCTGGAATTTCACTTAAACCCCGCAACCATGGCAGAGGCTTATGAACACTATTCACAAGGCCTGGAGAACTGGCCCTGGACCCCCCAATCTCCATCTGTTCCTTTAGAAGCAAGTTCTGGATTCGCAAGGCAGCGGCTTTCTCCCCCTCCGGTCGCGTGGCCCAGCCTTGAGCCTGCAGTTTGGTAAGATCCTGTCCTGGACTGTTTGTTCAGGGCACGCAGTCCCCACAGCTTGTTTGAAGACTGTCTCCTGGACGCTGCTGGCATCACGCACCCCTGTCGTCCCTCCTGGAGATGACGAGGCATCTGTTCCAGCCAGCTCGCTCGTCCGATGCTGCAACTCCCCACTGAGTGGGATCAGCTTGCCTGGCCCCACAAGAGCTCGTGCCCCCTCTGTTCGCTCACCTTCGGGATGTGTCACAGCGTGGTACGCAGTGCGTGGGTGGCCAGGAAGCATCCCTTCTCCTCCCCTCAGTTTCTCATCTTTAAAATGGATACAACAGCACCCGCCACCGTGCCATGGGGGTGTTTGGAGGCTGGATGAGACCATGCTCATCACGCATTTAGGACAGAGGAGCTGTTGTTGGGAAACCTGTGATAAGTGAATAAAAAGCTCAGAAGGGCAACAGGATGTGGAGAAGTGATGCGTTAGCTAAGAGAGGGACTTCAAGAAAAACACGCAGTCACAGAAAGGTGTGTCCCCGCCTCGTGGCTCCAGCGTGTGGAAAACCGTGTGGGGTGGTCGTCCTCCCTTATTGCTGCTGCTCCGAGACGGTGCCTTCAATCCACGTGGAGCAACGCGGAGTATGAATCCACGACGGAGCGCTGACGGCTGGGTCCCTGTGGTGCGCACTCCCTGGGCGGCCGCTCTGCGTGCACCTTCGCGGGCGTGACAACGCAGGCAGCCCCGGCTGGAAGGGAGTGGACAGGGCTCAGTACTGCCCAACAGACGCTGCAGGGCCCAGCCTCTGCCCTGTCAACACCATTCCAGGGGGACGCCTGTAGCAGGGACTGGTGGCGGGCACAAGACAGACAGCTCTGAGCTAGCCGGAGACTGACAAGCAGTGAGTGAGATGGGAAGATTCCGTGTATTTAGGGGAAGGGTGAATATATAACTAAATGCATAGCCATGGTCAAGGGGGTGAGCGTCCAAACTGGGCAAAAGCTTGAGGAAGAGGAGACACTGGCATTTTCCGTTGACACCGAACGGACTCCGGGAGTGCAATCGTTGGCACTGAGAGTGCTGTGGGAAGGGCAGGGTGTGGGGCCTCCTGATCTGGGAATCACGGGGGCTGTTTGGGCTGGTCTTTGAGTGCCTGTACGGGCTGGAACTCCTGAACCTTCTCTGCAGGATTTGCAGATGTTCTGGAGGGTCCTGCACTCAGCAGCTTTGCTAGGCAGGAGACCCCAGATGTTTGCACAGATGGCCTGCAATCTAGTCCTCACTCAGGTCTGTCCTCTTGACCCAGGTGTGGGGGGCACATGAAGGTTTCAGGGAGTCTCAGTCCCTTTCCAGGGCTCAGTGAGCCAGAGACAGCCTCTGGCATCACAGGCCAGAGGACAGGACCTCAGCCTCTCTCTCCTACAGACAGCAGTGGAGGGCTGGGTGCACATTCCCAGCAGGCTCCTAGACTGACACTGGCTCCGTGGCAGGAAATACATCTATTCATTAGTTGCCTGGCTAGGTGACATTTAACCAAGAGTTCGGGGGTAATAACTTAGCTAAGAATTTCTGATGGTCCAAGTGGAGCACTTCCGTGAGGAAGCAAAGCCTGTCTGCTTTTAGGAAAATCCACGGCCTCTGCATGTTCACATCTGACCGTACCGCTTATTGTTGCAGGCAAGACTTTAAACTTTCTGAAATTCAGTTGCATAATCTGGCAATAAAGTGAGGACTAAGATATATTTATATCTATCCTAATATACTACTTTTTCAGATTCACCATTTATAGGAGAAACTGTGGCTACACTGACTGGTAGCAACCCTTTTTTATGAGCAAACAGCTGTGAGGGCGCAAGGGAGGGAGGACCCGACCTCAGGGAGAATCAGAAATGTCTGAACTAAGGTAGAGTCCTGAGCTGCACAGGAAAGGATGACTAGGAGTTTGCTCACTGAAAGGCAGTTACCTGTGTGCCAAAGGCTGGGGTCAGCCAGGCCAGCTTTTTGGTTGCTGGCTTCCACCTGTAGGTGGAGGCAATGATTGAGCCTCCTCATGCAGCATTGTCCTGGCACCCAGTCAGTCACTCATCGTCTCGTCTTGTTTGGCTCTAGGCTTTGGCTCTCACATCTGTCTTTGTGCTACTTGATTGACCGGGAAACATTCAACAGTCAGGAGGAGGAAGACCTTTGTACCCACCCACACCACCACCACCAAAATGCAAGGAGGTCAACATTAATCTGGGGGAAGAGTTGGAAGTTCGATCACACTTTCCTGTCCAGCGATGGCTGTAAAATAAGAGTGTCATCATAACTGAGAATTATGCCCTTCACTGTGCAATAAAGGGGTCTTTCTCGGGAATATTAAGGGAAAATTTCCCAACCACAAAATACATGCGTAAAAGAAAGGGAGGTCATTGTCAGACTCTATGGTTCAACAGCAGTGATTGTTCTTTTTCCTTTTCTGTTAATCGACTAATTTTCCTTGACAGGAGTCTGACTTGGGTGACACACTGAAGAAATGGGAATTTTCTCCTAGGAAAAGTTTCGGCTCTTTGTAAAAATAAAGAAATCTGGGAGGCTATTTCTTTTCCAAGTCCAATTTAATTATAAGGCCACATGCCCATGACGCTGGGGTGACCGCCTCGGAGAACAAAGATCCTGTGTCAGAGCCAGCACCTCTCGATGGGCATCGTGCTGTGTGTGGCTGTCCTCTCATGTACTGTTGAAAAAAGCTCACCTTCCCGGTGTCAGTAAGACTGAATGACTGATCACAGATGGCCCAGGGCCTGTGAATTTTTTTAGTGATGAGGCTTTTTCTTTCTGATTTTGCTATCTGTGTATTGGTCCTATGGCAAGTGTGTCCTTCCTCACTGGTTTGTTACAAGGGCCTCCCCCCCGACTGCTTGTCTCAGTATGTCTGAGTGCGGCTGCCGGCCACGTGGAGAGAGCTGAGTGGCTGCTGGTGCCAGGGGTCCGGGAGGCTGATGCCACCCCCACACCTCTGATCAGGAAGCTTCAGCACCTGGAACAGCTCCCCCTCACCTGTGGGTTGCACCTCTCTCCTGTCCTGTGCCTCTACCATTGTTACTTCCCCCGAGTGGTCTCTGATCACGGCCCTTCAGTCTCCCACTTCGCTCAGCTCATGCTGTTGAGATGTGAAGTTCCGCTCAGGGCACACTCTAGTCCCCAGCTTTTCTTCCATTTGCAGGTACCGCACCGTAAGGCGCTCCCTGACTCGCACCAACCCCTGGGCCACACTTGCCAATCCACGGCCAGGTTCTGACTCCAAAAACTCCTGAAAAGGAAGCCTGGGACCCAGGACATCAACACACTGTGATAACAGTGACTGGAAAGGGAAGAGAAGGGTGACAGCCAATAACGTCCTGAGTGAGCTCTTTCCTGTACCTCACAATGTCTCTCTAATTCCACTGGAGCCGGCGCCTGCTCTGGAGCGCACGCTGTGTCCTAGGGACTCTCCTAGACCCTGCTGCATGAAGATTTTCACCGCTATTGTCATTGTCCTCATTCTCATCACCGACCACTGTCTGCTGTTCAGACTCTCACTGAGCACATTGCACAGATTTGTGTTTAATTTTAACCATGGCTTTGCAGAGAGGGCGTGTTCATGCCCAGTGTACAGCGGAAGATGCAGGGGCTCAGACCGGTTTTGTGAGCAGCCCAGCTGGCTATGCACACGGCCAGGGATGGGTCTGAGGGACGAGGGCTCAGCCCCCAGCCCACCGGATATCTCCAGGACCTTGTTCCACTCATTACGTATCCTCTTTCATCCTCAGTCTTTATCTTTTCTCTCTGCCCAAAGATAGGCTTAATGTTGGCAGGAAAAAGATGTTTTTGGGGATCCTGCTACTCCCCTTTTCTTTTTTCTTTCAAGGCCAAACTTCTTTGAAAGGTTAGGGGAGAACTCCTGCATCCACTTTCTAACCACCTGCTTGCTCCCTCCTTAGCACTTCACCAAAACAACTGTGGGGAAATCACTACTGACCTGTAATTACCGTGTCCTCAGGGAGTTTCTGTGGCTTCATTCTCTGCCACTTCTGTGAACACATGCCTTTCTGACTCCTCAGCTACCTCGGCCTCCACGTCGGGTACCAAGTCCTTTCAAGTTCACGTCCATGATTTCTCTTGCATTTAGCTCTGCATGTCCTTCCCACAGCCCCAGTGATGGCATTGCTGGCTCTCCTCGTCTTTCCCCAGTATCAGTAGCAGTTTTGCACTCGTCTCTGTACAGTTCCAACCATTTCTTCTGGAAACCCCAGCACTAATATTACTTTTCTGCTCATAACTTTATAACCCCCTTTTCCTCTTCCTGGGGCTCCCAGTACTCTCAGTACAAAACTGGAATGGAGGGCATCCTTCCTTCCCCCTGACCTTGACCTGGGAACTAAAGCAGGAGGCAGCCCCCCAGCAGAGCCCAGTTGGCTGTCATTGTGCAAAATCTTGTCCCAAATCTTCCTCAGTGGGTTGGTTGTGAGGTTCTAGACTCATGGAGAATAGGAGCTGATGTTTGAAGTCTAGAAAATCGTGAGATACATAGATGGGGTGAGTGACTCAGTCATCCCACAACCTCTGTTGTTACATCATAGAATCAGGAATCCTTGAAACCTAAAAGGGCAAATTAGGTCAAATTAAACACTGCTTTTGCAAACTTTATAGACTAAGGATTACAAATATTAAATTTATTAAAGGGCCAAGAAAAATTTGCATAAATGCATATCATACACGTCTAACGTGGAAGGTAAAGTTGAACACCTAAAGTCTGCGCTGCCCAGGCAGCCTGGCCATGACCCATTGTTCTGCAAGTTTGCTCTGAGTCTTTGCAGAACTGAGAGCTGGGTGCAGTGGGTTACCACCTAGGAAGTACACATCATCTCCAAATGCTTAATCTTGACCATGGAGGCTCATTCCTTGACCTAGGCTAGATTATCTGAACTTGAATTCAGAACCTCATCTGCTTTTTCCCCTATATCCCCCACAAATTCTACTATTAAAGCTATTCAAACATTTCGGAATAAATAATAAAGAATAAATAAGTAATTAATTCTTTAAAACTTGAGATTTGTGTTATCTTAGTCAACCACAGTTTTTACATTTAAAAGAAGGTCTGTACCACTTCTGACCAGAATGGTGGGATGCGTGGATTACTGATCCGAGCAATTATCATTGTGTGTGTGGGGGGCAGGGTTTAAACTATAGTTCAGTCTCTTAGAACTGATCCATTCAGCGGTGTGTGTTAACAGTTCAATCTGCACGCATATAGAGATAGACACAGTCATGCTCACAGCTTCCTGGCACAACCAAGAGAAGTCTTTGGTAATGTATTTTTATATCAAGGTTATACAATTATGTGCAACATTAAACCTGAATATATTATTTTTCCTAAAACAGAACCTAATTTTTTAATGAGAACAGGTATTCAGTAATTTTTCTGTAAAATGTCGTTTTCTATAACCCAACCCATCCTTTGTAAGAATTCAGAAGCCCATGTCAGCTGTTATATTTCAAGGATCACTGGAGGTTTTCCACTGTAATAGGACTGGTGAGAAATACTCACTTCTTGACACCCCTGAAACTTATGAACATGGAAAGAATGGAGGAGAATCTGCATTCTATAGTTCATTTTCTATAGAATACTCATCTCAAACAGAAACACCCAAGTTCACCACTTGAACCATTAATAGTACTTTCACTCTACTGACAGCATTCTTCTGCGTTGATTTGTAAAGATCAAGCTTAAGAGACACTACATTTGTTGGACTCGGCTACTCTGTTGCCCTCATTTGGCTACACAGGATCCTTGCAGACATTAGTGCCGTGAATCCGGGCGTGCACAGCCACAGCGACTCGACGGGAGAGAAAACCACAGAAGGAGAGATAAGATGTTGGTGCCACACCGAGGGTCTTCCTCGGGAGCCAGCCATTGCCTGCAGAGAAGATCAGGTTTCAGACCTAATTTTGAGGTTACTCTGTGGACAGGGGAATCCCTCAGGACAATAAATAGTTTGGGCCTGCCAGTGAGGAAGAGCCACTGACTACCACGGGACAAGTAGCAGAGCCTTGGCTCTCGGAATCTGGCTCCTGGCCAGTGGAGGGTTGGATTTGAAAATGATCGTTCAGTCTCATACGAAACAGTGTCATGTTCTTACTGCTAAAAACACCAGCATGCCTGAAACTCCAGTAGCATGAAAGGACTTGACGTCTGGCCTCTACAAGGACTTTAGTTTGCTGTTTTTGTTTTTTCACTTTAAAAAAATAAAGGCTTGAACTTCAGAGGAGAACTATTCAAAAAGACCCAAGTACTTGAAAAAGAAAGGGAAAATAGAATATATTCCTGCTCCCCTCGGCCGCAGCTACAGCAAGGCTCTCCTTTCGGTCTCCTCCATCCCCCCCTCCCTTAGCCTTCACTTTGGAGAACTAAGAGCTTTACAGAAGGTTTGACTGGTTCCAGGAACCAAGCGCAGGAGAGGGTCCCCTAGCACAGCCATCTGCTAAGCAGGCGGATCCCCCAGGTGTCTGCTTGCAGCAAATGCGACCTAATACCTCCAGGCAAACTGCGTGACCCAGAAGCCAACAGACTTCTGTTCTTGAACCATTTCTGTGTGCGGAGGATTTTCATCCTGGCACTCACAGTCGCAGCTTCTAATCTGTTTCAGTAGAAGACCGTTTTCCTTTTTGTCAAATACTTGGGGTCACATTCTTCCGATAAGTCCACACCCTGCTTCTGTAAGGGTGTGCGTTCCCCATCTCATCCTACCCTTTCTTTGCTTGCGCTCCACACGAAATACCTAGAAAGGCACTTAGAAATGGCTTTGACCTCGTATAGAAATAGCTCACCTGTATGAAGAAATAAAACAAAACAGCCTCCAGTTGCTGAGCACCTGGCGTTCATCTTCTACTAAAATTTGAGAATAATACCTCTCCAAGCCGTCTTCAGCTGAGAATCGGCAAGGTGCCGCTTTGTGGAGCCAGCCTTCTGCCTGCTGTGTTAGTGAGTGCGCCTGCTTGTTTCCTTAGAAAAAGCCCCAAACCACTTTGGACAGTAGCCCAAAGGTCAGCAAATGACAAGGAAAAGCATTTACAAGTATAAACACAGACTGATGATTCTTCGGGTCCTCTCCCACCCCCCCCCCCGGCCCTCTCGACCACATGCAGCAAAATAACCGCTTACGTCTTCTCACTGAAGCAGTTCCATTCGAAAAGCTTGCCAACCAGGACCTTTTAAAATGTTGCTGAGTGATTAAACACAAATCCTTAAACGGAGAGAGCTGGTTCGTATTAAGTATCTTCAGGCACTGCTGTCTGCCCACACGTGGGCCCCTGTCTGGCTGCTGGCTGATAAACGCCATGGCTTTCAGTATCACTTATTAGTATGCCTCTGTATTTCTACCGCACGCAGGCAGCCGGGGCGATGGCTATCTGTTAATTGAATTCTGTGCCAGCTACTGCGTCTCCGTGCGCTTGCCGTTATAATTTCAAGGATTGTGACTTCATTTCCTATGTATAAATAATAGTGATAAAAATGAAAAGTCAGTTGTGTATGCATTCCTACATATGTACATGAGTGCACATGTGTAGTCTTTCATGTTTACATGTATGTACATATATGTGCAGGGCCCAGCACAAATAACACCCCTTTTGCATTACAGAATCTTTCACTACAAAATCATAAGCATGTCATTCTGTAACACAGCAATATCACACTCAAGCACACCATAGGCCATTTTAGGTGAAATGTTCAAAGTAAAACTATAAATTATTACACCCATATGATTACCCTACCAAGCACACGCACGCAGGCCTTACTTCTGCCAATGCTGTGTGTGTATGTGTATATGTAATATATACAAAAATACATATATATGTGCATGTGTACATATACACACATATAGGTGCATATATAGAGAATTTTATATATATATATATATTTTAAAAGAGTCGCTTAAGGTCACAGTACATTACAGAAAGCACTCTTTAATAGCCAAACATTTCTATATAAAAACACACATATCCAAGCACTAACAGTGTGTACTCTTGAGAATGGCTGGAAAGAATATGGAATAGAAGGGACCATCTTTGGATTTTGCATAATAATAAAAAACAGACATGGTAGTAGCCCGTGAGCAGTTAGCGAACAGCTCATTTACCCACCCGTCCACAGGGTGCGGCAGAACGAGCCCCCCGCGATTCCAGGCAGCCTGCAGCTGAGTCGGGCGTCACAGGGGGAGGAGCCCCCAGTGAAGGCAGGACCTGGGCCCAGCATCAGGTGGCAATTCATCAGCTGCGGGTGGCACGGGGCGGGGCTGGGACCGCGGATGCCATGGGGCCAAGGACTCCAACCGCCCAGTGTCAACCTGACCCTCACTTCCTCTCATAAAGAGTGAGTAACGTACTCCAACTTTCCAAGGTTCAGCTGATCTCCTAAAGCGGGGTGGAAATTTTGTCTTCCTGTGGCTAAGTGGTATTTCCAATGACGTGTTCAGTCGGTCACTGGGAAGAGAACGAGGTGCTAACATAACTAATCCAGAAAGAGCCCAAATGACGCAGTCAGAGCCCATGATACTTCTCAGCTGGTGAAGGGCAGCATGGTGCAGAACGTCTAGGGACACATGGATTATGCTGATCAAGAGTGAGGAGAGTTAAAACAAAGTTAACATGTTTTTATCACCTGTAATATCAACTCCTCCCCTGAACTAAGCCATGAGCGTTTCCTGAGAAGCCAGACTTGGGGGTTAAAGGAGAGTGTTGGGCTGGGCAGGACCTGCCATTTTTAAAGTTACCTCATCTTCTCTCTGTGACGGGGATGGTAACTGGAACCCCACCTGGAGGTGGCAGGGGCCCTCTTTACGTAGATCGTCTCGCTCAGTGGTCTCCCTTTCTGACGCACTATTCATACGTCTCAGCTCCCACAGCACAAAGTCCCTGTTCCCCGGTTTCCTGGATATACATCCTCGCACTTGACACGTGAACTTTCATTCCCCAGAGCAATTCTGACGCTCGCTGGTTCTGCCACTCACCCAGGTCCCATCTCATTCTGAGTTCGTGGCAGGACTTGCCAAAGCTGGTGCCATTCTGCAGCTGACCTGCACAGGCCAATAAATTCCAACCAAAAACGGTCAACTCTCAAAGAGTGAGGACACAAACCCCACCTGGTCCTGTGCAGAAGTTCATGATCTGCAAACCAGGCCAGCAGCCTCGGTTCACCAGGGCTGTGGCTGGCTTTTCGGAGCTCACGACGGCCAGTTCAATCATAATTTCAGCACTGAAACAGGCACAAGCTTGCCAAAGAGTCCATAAATTCGCAACAGTGAACTGTCCTGCTGCCCAGGTTCCCCTGCCTGGGAAGGGGAAGGGGCAGCTCTCCGAACCAGAAAGGAAGCAAAGTTGAGCCTCGTTCCCCAGGGACCTCTGACCATGACACTCCGGGTGCAGTAGGACCTACCAACGATGTTTAGCCCAACTTTGAGCATTATGTTTCTACTTTCAGAAGCTGAATGTGATTCGATCCAGATTTTAATATTCATGTGTTCTTTCCTAAACATACACTATAGCACTCAATGTTAGGGTATCATCTTAGTTCAGTAATGGAGTGGAAGTTTCCAA